AGAGACGGGCAAAAAAACTGGGGAGAGATGGGTATCTCCAGCGATGGGCCCCTCTTCCCCAGCACTACAAAAAGGTCTGGGGTCACATTTTGCAAGAAAGACAGTGCTGGCAAAATAAGTCAATACGAATTTCAGCCATAAAAGTGCAAATGCAGCTTCCAAACCTTTTTTTATTTTTCATATGGGCTCCAGAAAGCCCATATACTTCAAGACACATGGTTAAAAAAAAAAAAGCGCCTTTTTTTTTTTTCCTTAGCCCATTTGAGGTATGATTAACCATTTCTGACAAACGCACTGAGCTTGAGGGATGGAGCTATGAGTCTGTAAAATTGTGCTCCGTCTCCATCTGGCCCCGCTGGTTTACCCCTCTGTGCACGCTGCGCGCGGGTGCCAGCGCCCCTTGAGAGCCGGGGGGGCACCTACAGCCCTTTGCTTTCACGTCTCCGAGACCTGAGTACGGGTGACACCACCCGAAGCTCAGGCTGAGCATCAGCGGGTCCAGTTTCCCAGGGAGGGGGACCGGGTGCGGGCTGCTATTGGGCCGAGGGAGGGGGAAGCTTTTTGCTGGCACCCCGGACAGCTGTGTTGCCAGAGTTGGCTTGGCACGCTATCAATGTTGCTTTAAAAAAAATTAAAATAATAAAATCTGATGAGGTCTGTTGCTGCCACAATTTTCTTAAAAAAAAAAAATTCTTTTTTTCTTTTTTTTTTTTTCCCCCCCCAAAAAAGTCCCTGGCAGGGCCCACTCAGCATGACCCCGGGGGATGGGCTGGTTCGAGCGGTACCCTGACCATCCCACCGTAGCCGTGCGATGCTGCCCGTGGCTTTGCAAGGCGCAGGGGATTAGGCTGACCCCCGCGAGCTGGTCCCCAGTACACAGACACACAACCCTTCAGCAGCTCTTCCCTCCGGTACAAAGCCAACGTCTCAACGTCTGCATCGCACGCCTGTCCGCAGCAGGACCGCAGCATCCTTCATGTCCGCTCTCCCCAGGGAGAGCTGTGGGGGGTCAGTAAGCTCCCTGCAACACCCAAAACACCTCGGCGTGGGCAGCGTGTTGGCCCAAAAGCCACTGGAGCTGCACAGGGAAGCTTCCAGCACATTAAGGCTTGTTTTTTTGGGGAAGCCAAAAGCCACGCAGCCTTGAACCCGTGCAGATAAATTACAATCAGATGAGCAGAGCCTCTGCGGAAAGACACAGAGATAGGAAGTATGAGGTTAGAAATAATCAGAAGCGCCCCGATCTGGAAATTGTTATACGCAGATAATCCCGTATTTGCAAAGGGCCCAAGTGGCTCTGCCTACACAACCAGCACCAAACGCACCGGAGCGAGCGAGGGTGCGAGCAGCCTGCGCTGCCGGGGCGTGCACGAGCCCAAAACACCCGGGGGCTTTGAAAAGCCCGCAGCTCATGCAAAGGTGCCTGTGTGCAGCTTAAAGACGGCAGCATTGGGTGGCGGTTTAATTAACGAGAGCAGCTAGACGAAGGCTGAGGGCTGCTGAGATACAGGCATGTGTTTACTGTCCCAATTTAAAACCCCAAAAAGCCCTGCCCCACCCAGCGTGGGGTTGGCAGCACCAGCCCTGGCACTGCTCTGCCGCTGCTGCCCCCCCCTCCCCGGCCCCCTCCCCAGCTTCCAGCCGATTTGGGCTCCTGGGCTGGCAGCGGCCATGTTATCTGATGAACTTTGCTCTTTCAGGCTTAAAAAAAAAAAAAACAAACCAACCCTGTTCCTTGCATTTACATACAATTATGCTATTCTTGAAATTTAGGCTGTCCTCATTCTCCCGGAGATCATCTGCCACCTATTAGATGACCATCCTCCACGGCCAGGGAAGCTCATTAGCTAAGAGGATTTTATTTTAAAGATTTTTCTTTTTTATGCAACACATTTTCAACCTAGATCCTTAAAACTATTTGGGAGTTCAGCTCCTGTTTGAGTACAAGGGGAATTGGTGGCCAAGGATGCTCAGGGCCACGAAGAAGTTACTAGAGAGCTGGGTCCCATTTCCAAAAGCATCCACAAGTCATGACGTATCAGTGCATTTGTAAACTGTACCCAATAATAACATATTTTTTTTTTTCTTGTAAGGACTGAATCTTAATTCAGCCTCTGAAGTGGGAATCTTGCTCGCCAGGTTTCACCTCTCCCATCTCCCATGAGGTGCTGCCAAACCCCCTGCCCCGCCAGGAGACCCAGAGCCACCGCAGCCGAGAGCAGACACTTTCCCACCCTGTCATCACCACACATGGGTCCGCCAGCCCAGACACTTCCAGTATCCATTTTCTGAGTTACATCAGCGTGGTTTGATCAGCTCCCTTTGCTTTTCTGAGCGTAAGATCACACCTTTCCATTCCTTTTTAAATCAGCTGCAGACAAACATCAACCAGTCGAAGGCTGGCAGCTCTGCAGCCGGAGGGCTCTCCATACAGGGATTTGTGCTTTGGAAAGTCCCACTGGCACCTGCCTGAGTCTCCCTTAGGAAAGACCTTTCCGTTTTCCTCAGCTATTTCAATATTTTACAATATTGAAAGAAAGAAAGAAAGAAAGGAAGGAAGGAAGGAAGGAAGGAAGGAAGGAAGGAAGGAAGGAAGGAAGGAAGGAAGGAAGGAAGGAAGGAAGGAAGGAAGGAAGGAAGGAAGGAAGGAA